ATATATATATATATATATATATATATATATATATATATATATATATATATATATATATATATATATATATATGCTGAAATTAATATACTGAAATTTACTTTATTCGAATCACTATATTTATAGGAAATCGTTTATTGTCACGATACCGGAAGAGACTCAAGTGAACCCTGCTATAAGTCACTTCTATGATAAAGATATTGCAGATAATGACATATATTGGTCACCACTTGCTTCCGTAGATCTAACTTTGCGAGATGTAAGTTTGTGGTTAATAAACAGACGATTACAACGATTTTTTTATTCCTAAAGAATATTACTGGCCTTGAAAGGACATGTATGGTTGTTATGGTTAATTGGTGCATTCGTTTAAATTTTCATAAAATGGGGAAGTTCCACTTTTAAACCAACTTTAGATAGCTAAGCAATGTGAGCAATGACAAAAATTTCTAGTTCAAAAATTTCTATGATGCCTTGGTCCCCTAAACCAAGTTTCTCATTTTCCCATTACAGCAGTTGTCTTCATCACTCATTTTCTTCCGATACAACAAGCTGAGAACTTGTCTTTTTATCCTAAAAAGATGTTTTTGAGAGAGTGGTGATTCATTATGAGAAGCAGCCGTCTTTGGTAGCTACTGGAATCTCTGTTGCTGTTTTTGAAACGACTGCTTCCTCTTCTACCCATCTCTTTACGAATACATTAGATGCTACTGCCGTTGAATATGAGTGGAAGAATGTCCCAGCCGGGAATTTTACAGCTTATTTATATGTTAGCCGATTAGACTGTGATCTAATATGTAGCAACGATACTATGAATAAGTGTACTTTATGTCCAAGTACAAGAATTCATTTCACGGTTGAGGAGGATAAAATTCGGTTTTCGGCATCAGTGTATGGTTTATTATCCCATGAAATTTACATCATTGGTTAGTTTTTGTTTTTTGAAGTTATACTAATTCAAATTTACCAGTATTGTCAGGATCAGGACTACTAGTGAGAATAATGCAGTTTAAAATGCTAATCTCATATTACATTTCGATATGCTCTATACCTTCTAAGTTACTGAGAAATTCCTCCTGTAAGTCAGCAGTAAGACAACCTTTTTTTTGCAACTGAACAATGACAATCTGTTATGCATGGTGAGGTTCGAAATGACACTATCATCCTGATACTTTGAGAATATAAGATGATTGAATTAATTGCCTTTTACGCTTTATCTTGTAGACGCATTTTGCGTTTGTATCCGAGTTTTTCATAATTTTTACTTCATGGCATAAAATTCTAATTTCTCGGTGTTTTGCTTCATTTTTCCGCATTGATTCATCATGTTACAGCGATCGTTTTAACCAACAGATAAACTAAAATAATCGGAACTTGAAAATTGTGCACTTCTTTTGAGAAACTCTCCACTTATATCAGTCGTTCTTTTCATTGCTCAAGAACTTAGTAAATATATGTTTTCTTTTGGATATGTGAGTGTCCTTTTTCTTTTTTATGTATTTTCGATCAAAAATAAAAATAATTATATTCCAGGTGTTGCGGTGTTGTGTTTTATTGTTGCGATAGCTTTTTTTTTTGGTGCCCAAGTGGTTTCACAAGGTCTCGTTACGGGAATTATCACTTTCGCAGCGAACAACTGTTTTTATCGCTTACACAGATGACTCCAGACTTCATTCTGAGTGTATCGCTGCATTTGCAAAAATACTGCAACACGACGCCAATATAGATGTATTTATAGATCAATTTGAATTAAAATGTTCAGGTAAGTACATTTTTTTAGTGCTATGAATTTGTCGAAACATCATCGTTTCATGTTTAGAAAACAGGTTTATGATAAAGTAGTCTCTTACCCAGAGTTTTTTTTGAGATTGGCTGTCTGAATCTGAATGAGCAATGAATTTTTGTAAATCAATACTTGAGTGCATTTTATTCCTTACTACGAAAATTCTCTCAGTCGCTAATTTTTTCCTTGTGTGGTGTTTTAATTCTTTTCAATCGATGCAGCAAAAGTTTATCCTTCTTGACTAAAATCGGCTCAATTCTGGTTTAACTTTTTCCTTTCTTTTTTATTCCCGTCATTTTAATTTTTGTTTGAATTGACCAGATTTCAGAAACACTTCCGTTGAGATGGTTCGTTAACAAGTTTGCGGCAGCTGATCATGTAGTGCTTATTTTTTCTGAGGGAGCAAATGCCATCCTTCGCGGGGAAAGTCTTATTCAGCGGCAACCGTTTCCTGAATTCTTCTCTATCGCCCTTAATATGTTGATAACAGTTAGTCCAAAATCACATGAAATATTTTTGGATTCTGATACGTATATTTAAAGTAAAATATCGAATGATCGCTGGCTTGATTCAAGTAAAGGAAAACTTGAAGAAACTATATAAATTTATCATGTTCTTACTGCTGAGTTTTTCGGATCTACTTCTTAACAAATTCTAGGAATGCAGTAAAAATGTCACTAAGCAATCTGGAAAGCTACTACCAGTATCAGAAGTGAGCCTACGCTTTGCATTTGCCTATATGACCTATTCTCCGCCTTCAGTGATCCCCGAAGAGCTTACCGCTTTACCCATCAATATATTTAAGGTGCCTGAACAGGTATGCTACTCTTGTGATGTGTTCTTATAATATATGCTTCTGTTTTCAGTTTCTTTTTTCACTTTTTCATTTTCAAAATAAATTTAGGTTCAGAACCTCATTTCATGGTTGCATAATCAACCATCTGATATCTATGTTGATATGTGTATTGATATCTCACATTTGAAAAGTGCCATAAATGAAGTTGTGGAATACCAAAGCAAGAACCCAGTTTGGTTGGCTGAAAGATTGCAAACGAAGTACAAGGTAAAATTGGCATCAGATTCTATAGTAGTTATTACAACATTTAATGAGTTAAGAATAAAATATTGTTTCATTCTACTTCAATGTTTTTT